GTTTAAAGAAGAAGCTGGAGAAACTCAAAATGAAATGGTATGAGAATCTCCCTCAGGTGCTTTGGGCGTACCGAACCACACCACGGTGGCCCACGGGGGAGAGTCCCTTTGCCATGGCTTATGGATCCGAAGCGGTGATTCCAACCGAAGCATCGGTTCCAACCCTTCGGACATCTTTGTTGCTTGAAGGAAACAATAGTCAGCAGCTTGAATATAGTCTCGATCTCTCATATCAGCAGCAGCTGCGCAACAATTATAACAAACGTGTCAGATTCCGGAGCTTTGCGGTAGGCGATTGGGTTCTGAAGCAAGAGACAGCTCATGTCAAGAAACTGGAACCTAACTGGACCGGACCCTATAGGGTTACCGAAGTAGTGGGGAAGGGAGCATATCGTCTGGCCGAAGTTGACGGACGTCCCATTGCGCGTCCTTGGAATGCAATACACCTTAAAAGGTATTTCCATTAGATAAGTTCGTCAATTTTATTAGGAATTCTTTGCAAATAAGGCTGCGTAAGCCTACAGTCAGCCAAGTTTTACTTTATTTTTATTTGTTTCTTTCCATAAAAATGGGGGCCATACCACTATATGATTATGCAATTTTGCGTCGCGTTACGCATTAGCAATTTTTATGCGAAGAAATTTAAATTTTCATACTACACTGTGGTTATGTAATTTCATACTTTTATGCAAAGCAATGCTGGAAGCAAGTTATTAAAAAGCATGCGTTTTGACCCACGGTTAAAACTCTCTGTCCCACATCGACAAAAAAGTATGAGTTGCATCCTGTTATATATGGGAATATTTAAATAGTTGATTGCGGTGTAAGGAGGGCCCACTGGTATTAATGGCTGTCAGGTTCAATACCAGAGGCATTCCTTACACCGACTTTTTTTTTTGATAGAATATAGTTTATGTCCCACATCGGATAAAAATAAAAGGGAAATGTGATTGATATATGCATAGTCCATCACATACAGTTGCCAAGAAGGGAGTATTAATGGAGGAAAGTTTCCAAAATAAACAAATAGGAAACTTCCCAGCCATTGTTACTCGCTTTATTGGCCTCCTATCATTTTTGAATCCTCGGCAAGTTGTTTAAAAAAAAAAAAAAAAAAACGAACGAAGAAAAGAGTATATAGATATCTGCAAACTTCTCTTCAGTCCCAACACCGAGGAGAAACCAACTCGCCTCGGACCTTAAGTGTCCAGCTCAGCAAAACCTCCCTCAGGCTTAGCGCCGGGGAGTAAGTCATTTGCCTCGGACCTTAAGTGTCCAGTTCGGCAAAACCTTGCCTTGGACCCTAAGTGTCCGGCTCAGCAAAACCTCCCTCAGGCTCAGCACCGAGGAATAAGTCATTCGCCTCGGACCTTAATTGTCCAGCTCGGCAAAACCTCGCCTCAGACCTTAAGTGTCTGGCTCAATAAAACCTCCCTTAGGCTCAGTGGCGGGGAATAAGTCATTCGCCTCGGACCTTAAGTGTCCAGCTCGGCAAAACCTCACCTCGGACCCTAAGTGTCCGGCTCAGCAAAACCTCCCTCAGGCTCAGTGCCGGGGAGTAATTCATTCACCTCGGACCCTAAGTGTTCGGCTCGGCACAGCCTCCCTCCGGCTCAGCGTCGGGGAATCCCTCAGGCTCAGCACCGGGAAGTAAGTCATTTGCCTCGGACCTTAAGTGTCCAGCTCGGCAAAACCTTGCCTCGGACCCTAAGTGTCCGGCTCAGCAAAACCTCCCTCAGGCTCAGCAGCGGGGAATAAGTCATTATCCTCGGACCTTAAGTGTCCAGCTCGGCAAAACCTAGCCTTGGACCCTAAGTGTTCGGCTTCGCAAAACCTCTCTCCGGCTCAGCGCCGGGGAGTAATTCATTCGCCTCGGACCCTAAGTGTTCGGCTCGGCACAACCTCCCTCCGGCTCAGCGCCGGGGAGTCCCTCAGGCTCAGCGCCAGGGAGTAATTCATTCGCTTTGGACACTAAGTGTCCGGCTCGGAAGACCTCTTACTTATTTTGCTTCGGACTAAAACAAATAAGGAACCTTCAAGCAGGGTACTTTCCTTCAAAAAAAAAAAAAAAAAAATCTCTCATCCAACAGAATGTGTGCAATATCAGAAGCATATAGGCATACTCAGTCGAACCAAAATAGAAGTAACACAGCTTGAGAAACAAGGTTATGTCATTTATATTTATCATTCTCAATATTATTTCATTACAAAAAGGGGAAAAAAAAAAAAAAGAAGAGTTGCTCGATCCTATTTCCTCTTGGGATCAAACGGGGCAGATTCGAAAGCATCTACCATAGCTGGACTTGCAGGTGGAGGAATTGAAGGACCAGGAGTTGCAGGAGTTGATGAGCTCGGAGGATCTTCCGGGTGAGCCTTCACCATCTCAGCAAAAAGCACCTCAGCCTCCTGAGCCTTCGGACCCTCGTTGTAAGGGAAGGACACCCCCATGTGCATATCAAAGGCATTAGGGTCCGTCATTTTGGGGCCTGAGCCTTGATTGAAGCCGGACCGGTAAGCTTTTGCACTTGACAAGCGCACCAGACTAGAGTAACGACCTTGCATTTGCCTCCCGGCAATGATGCAAGTGCTAAGGGCATCATTCAAATGCTGGACTTCAGCCTCTAGCGACTCAACTTTTGCATCAGAAGCAGCCAGACGCCTCTTATAAACATCCCGAGCCTCATATGCAATTTGTGCATAGGCAATGGCATGGGATGCCTTCTTCTCAGAATCGCTGAGGTCTTTCTCCAGCTTCTTAAGAGAGAGAGACTGAGCCTCAGCAGTGGCACAGAGGGCCATAGTATGATACAAGCCTTGCATCATAAGACAATAACAATGTAAGAAAATTTGTAAGACAATTATAATAATGGAAATGAAGGAAGAAGTAGCTGTTCCAATCCCATTCTGCCAATGATTTCTTCGTCCTTAGGGAGCCATATTCCTCGAGCAACAGCCAGTGCTGCAGATGGGTCAGTGATCATAGAATCACCAACATAGAGGATAGACTTGTCAGCCCTTGAGAAAGAAGGACTTCAAGGTGCCCCAGCCTCAGCAAGGACGTAAGCACTGACCTCATCCTCAGGGTTAATCTCTTCAACTTTCTTCCCTTTGCTTTTTGGGTTTGAAGCACCCTTGGGTTTTGTGGTTGAGGAAGGGTTCAGCCTTGCCTTTTTATTCAGAGGGACTTCGTCAACCTCCTTCTCCTACTCGTTTGTGCGCAATATAGTCAACGAGGTGCTCTCTGCAGATTTCCTCTTTAAGGCTTCAGCCCTCTATTTTTCTTCCTTAGTCATGGGGAAGCTGTCGAATGATAGAAGTGAGAGGTCCATGAGATCAGCAGTTACAGCTCTGGAAGCAACTGCTTTAAGACTTGCAGAAGTGAGCAAGTTCTCAACCGAAGGAGGGTCGTTCCAAACCTGCCCTTCCAGGAAGGAAAGCCTCTTCTTAGCAGCCGAAGAAGGAAATGTCGCTGAAAAAACACCAAGAAACTCGTAAATATATCGAAAGAATAAGACTCGATATGGGAAACAGTTAGAACAATCTTCATAAAGAAAGGGGGGATGTTCTATACCTAACTTCCCGAACTTGCGAGGGATTGGGAGTTTGCTCGATTGGGGCACGGCCCATCTCCCTTTAACGATTATCATCCTCTTTTTCCACTTCTTCTCAGAAGTAGGGAGGTTTGTACATATCCTTTGGTGCAAGGGGGAAGTGAAAAAGAAACGACCAGGTTCGGTCCCATGCTTAGAAATGGAATAAATAATCAGCAAGTCAGCCAGAGTCAGGTTAAGACTCTCCTGCCATCACCGAATAAGGAGTGCCGAGATTACTCGAAGGAAGTTAGGGTTTACTTGCAGGGGTGCGATCCCCAATTTATTGAAGACTAGGTGATAGAAAGGATGAAGGGGAAACCTAAGAGCGTTGAGATGCCTAACAGAGAGGAGTAACTCGTCTTTTCTGACACCCTCGCCGGTGCAAAAATCAACGCCTTTGGGGTATTCTGTAATTTCTACCCCCTCGGGAATCTTGAATTCTTCCATTACGGATTCAATGGAGAACGGGATGCGATGAATAGATAAAATTGCATTCTTTTCTTCCTTAGTAAAGATATTGTCTGACCCAGAGGTGGATGTTTCAGCCTGGATCGTGGAAGCATCTGGCTGATTAACCGAGTCATTTGCAGGTTTAGGGAAGTTCGAAACCCTAGGAGGGGGAACCCTAATGAGATTAGGGGAAGACGAGGGTGTGGACTCAGAATCTATGATCTCTATACGCTCAGGAGTAGTTGAAGTACTCATAATGTAAGATTGGAAGAAGGGAAATAAGAACTAACCTAGAGATATGAAGAGTATGGAGAACGCAGTAGACAGAACGAAAGCACACTGAGAACGAAAATGAGTCTTAAAGAAGCCCTTGAGTCAGAATAACAATAGACGAGAATGGAAACGCCTCGTGCAAGAATGGCAACTACACAACTTCAATTCCCTTTTAATTAGGAGCCGTAACCCAATTAAAGTGGAATTGGGGGCAAAGTGTGGAGGGAAAAATTTCCCTCCAATAAGAATGAAACACGTCACCACTCTACAAATCTGCATTTAGGAGATCTCAGAAGCCCATCCGGATCAAGCCCAAGTTACGCTGTGCTTTAACTCATTATCATTTATGTTGGGCCTCCAAAGCCAGGCAAGAGTACCGATTAGCCCAACATCACCACTGTTGGAGTTTTGGTCCATTAGTCAAGTCACTTACACCAAACCACATCCGGCCCAAGTAAAACAAAATATGGCTCAGTCCTATTAAGCAAAGGAATCAACCCAGAAGGAAAGTCTTTATACAAATCAAGTCCTGTGTAGGAAATACCATACAATGGAAAGAACTCTATTTGTAAAGAAATTCATGTAAGGGAAAAATTAGAGGACAAGCAACGCGAGTCCTACTATAATTTTACCAACTTTTGTGTATAAATAGAGGCCTAGACCTCCAATAAAGGGGCAAGCAATTCAATTCTTCAACAGACACTGTTCTTGTTTATTCTGATTGTTTGTTGAGTGTGTTGTATTATTTTCTCTCGATTGTAATTGGTTGGGTGAAATTTTGCACCTACAATTGCACTTTGTGAATATTGCTGGAACAGTCCCACAAAAGCGATTCATCCGCAGATATAGCACAAAGAGTTTATTGCTAATGTTTCCCAGACATTGTGGAATCTTATTGACCAAGCTGTTATTATATAGATTAAGAACCACAAGGGAACTCAGGTTGCAAATGGTAAGTGGTATTTCACTAGTGAATTCATTTGATTCGAGGCTTAGATAGGACAATTGAGTCAAGCGAACTACCTGAGCTGGGATTTCACCATTTAATTGGTTTTTACTCAGATCAAAAGCAGTCAGTAGTTTCAAATTCCCAATTTGAGGTGGAATTGTTCCATTGAGATAGTTGTCAAAGTGGTTCAAGGATTCGAGGTTTATGAGATTCCAAATTGTTGGAGGAATTGGACCAAAGAGTTGGATTGCCGAAAGGTACAAATATAACAATTTTTTTAGGACTCCAATCTCAGGTGGAATTTTACCAGTGAAGGAATTGTTTTGAAGCTCTAAATATTGCAAGTCAGTCCAATTGGTGACAAAATAAGTTGAGATCTCGCCAGAAAGAAAATTATCCGATATGTGCAAATAATTTATCTTGGACAGATTGGACAGGGACAAAGGTAAGGGTCCGGTAAGTGAATTCATATCTAGAAAAAGTATCTGAAGCTTTCTGAGTTGGCCTATAGAAGAAGGAATCTTTTCTTGGAATGAATTGTTATCCAGCTGAATGGATTGAAGATCTGAAAGTAATCCAATCTCCTCAGGAATTGAACCGACAAACTGGTTGTTACCCAGAAGAAGATATTTGAGCTTCAAAAGCTTTGTATTATTTGATGATAATAACCCTTGAAATGAATTACCGGAGAGAGAAAGATATTCAAGCTTGGTAAGATTGGTGAATACCAACTCAGGTATTATGCCAGTGAAATAGTTGTATGACAAATAAAGGTTAGTGAGGCTGGGGCAATGGAGTATGAAATCTGGAAATTCAGAGGTAAGTTCATTGTAATCAAAGTAAAGATGAGTCAACATAGGCCTACCTAAGAATTTTGACCAATCTGGAGTTTCTAAATGTTTCCATCCAAGGTCCAAGTACCATACCATCTGTAGACTGCTAACTTGATATGGAATAGTACCACTAAGTGTTGTCCTCCCCCTCTCGTTACAAGTTTACAGTGGTCTTTCTTCTCCACTCCATACTCATTATATACTCTCAATATGAACGCACTTTTATTCTATTGAAAATTTTGTAGGATTATTGAATTTGGATTTTCTAAATCAGTTTCTATGGTTTTTTTCTTTAATTATTTTTTAGTTTTATTAACTTTTGTTATTATAAATTTTTGTGTGTGTGTGTGTGTATATATATATATTTGTATATTTTGTTTGTGAGTTGTGACTATTTTTATTTATATTGTTAAAAAAGTTACATTTTATTTTTTTCGCCTAAGGCCCCAAATTAGATTGAGCCACCCCTGGTGCGTGCGAAATAATTGATAAAACCTAAGGCCCCAAATTAGATTGAGCCACCCCTGGTCCATGCAAAATAATTGATAAAAATTGTTTATGAAGAAATCTGGCTCTCTCCCATTATCTGTTATTGGTTATAACCAAAGTGTATTCACCTGAGATATATAGACTCATTCACCACAATTGTATCACAGGATCGAATGATGGATAATGAATAAAGTTTTTTTAGAGTATTTTTCACATAAAATCTTCATTGATTTTTGATCGGTTGGTCAATTAAACATCAACCTTCGCAATAGCACGAATCATTGTAAAATAGGGCTATTGGTCGGGTAAGTCGAACCACTGGGACTGTGCTAGTATTAAGGCAACCTAAGTGTCTAGAGTCATTTTAGAGTGATAAGGGGTGTTCATAGAGGGTTTGTTTTATGGTCACTAAACTAGGAATTCAAAGTGCATAAAACAATAGTGTGCTAGGAAGTAAAGAGATAGAACAATAGAGAAGAGACTAGGGAATTGACTTCACCACAAGCCATATAAACATGCCTAATTGCAATTAACTTGGGGAACAAAGTATACATGCAACCATGATATGTAGAAATGCAAGACAACTACAATATCTTCAAGAAGTTCACACATTCAAGAATTAAGTATAATCCATCAAAGGTTGGCATGAGTCATCTATCTAAACTAGGGTATAGAATGAAGTATCCTTCCTAAGTTATGAACTATCAAAGTCCTCAATTTATGTGGTAAGTGCACATGAAGTCAAGAACTAAACCATAATCCATCAAAGGTTTCCCTAAGCCATGGACTATTAAATTTCTTAGACAAAATGCCATTAAAACCATTGTATAATCTCATCTTCATTCTCACTATAAAGATGTAAGTAGCATAATCATGAAGAAACAATTTCTAAGACAAGAAAAGAGTCTCTACAAGATTAAATATGGAATGAAACACAAACACATCAAAGTGTATCTCTAGATTAAACAACTTGTTACATAAATGCAAAGTTCCCCAAATATAAACACAATTAATACATATTTACTTGACAAGGGTTACATCAACTCCCTAAGAAGAGGTTTAGTTACCCATGGTAGCTCTAGATGAAGGAGGAAGCAAGGCATCCAACTCCATTTTCGTGCTCCCTTGTGTTGGCTTGAAGAACTCCTCTTTCTTGTTCTCTTCTCTCTCCTCTAATCTTGTAGAATGAAACTTAATGTATTTTGTGGCTTCCCTCTCTTATCTTCTAGAGATAAGGCTCAAAAAATCCCCACCAACCAACATCTCCAACCAACCATTAAAGAGGGAAATTAGAATTGAGGAACCCAAGATGCAAGTGGCTGAAAATGGGCCATTTACGGATGCAATTCTGCCCTAATTTTGAGCACTCGAAATAAGGGCTCGAGCACTCGAAATTGGAGCAGAATGCTCCATTCTTGCCTTGCTCCGCCCAGACCTACTTCGGTTAAACAGCCATAACTTTGCGCTCTGAACTCCGAATGATGAACCATTTAAAGATTTGGAGAGCTGATTTAGAGCTTTAAAAACTTCATGTTTTGATGAAGACCCAAATCTCAAATCTAGTTGGTCGAAAATGGGGAGAAAGGTAGTACTTTAGTGCTGCCAGGCAGTTCTGCGCACCTCTGGTAACAAGGCCATAACTCTCTGCTCCGAGCTCCGAATGATGAACCGTTTGAAGATTTAGAAAGCTAATTCAGAGCTCTAAATCTTTCATGTTATGATGGAAGTTCAATTCTCGAGATTTCTGGGTCAAAATGACGAGCAAAGTACTGACTCCACTGCTGATCTCGTGAAGCAATCTGCCCTAATTTCGAGCACTCGAAATAAGGCCTCGAGCACTCGAAAATTGGCCAGAATGCCCTATGTTTGGTTTGCTTCGCCCGGACCAACTTTGGTAAAACGGCCATAACTTTGTACTCTGAACTCCAAATGATGAACCGTTTGAAGATTTGGAAAGCTAATTCAAAGCTATAAAAACTTCATGTTTTGGTGGAGATCCAATTCTCAAGGATGGTTGGTCGAAAATGAAGATCAAGGAAGAATTTTATTGCTGCCAGGCAGTTCTGCGCACCTCTGGTAACAAGGCCATAACTCTCTGCTCCGAGCTCTGAATGATGAACCGCTTGAAGATTTGGAAATCTAATTCAGAGCTCTAAATATGCTATTTTATAATGGAAGTCCAGTTCTCGAGTTTGCAAGGTCAAAATGGCGAACAAAGTTCGGGCTTCACTGCTGCCAGAATTTCGGAATTGGCACCTTTGATGTTCAAAACTCCACAAAGCATCCTTCTTGCTTCTTTTTGGCCAATGGACCTGAAAATGTGCAAAAACATACAATTGGAGATAATCTATATAAAATACACAAATAAAGAACTTAACTAATGCAATTTAGGGCGCTTGAATATACAAGATTCGGCGCTTATCAATTTTTCTATCGGGCACACAAACAAAAAAAATTCATCCATTGAAAAAATCCCATACAAAATCAGCCTCTTGACGAAGCTCAATTACATCTATTGAACAAAGCTTGTCCACAAGTTTTGCTGCAAATAACGTGAAGTCTCACCTACCATAAAATCATCTTGTCCATTGCCATGAGAACCTTCAAAACAAGACGCCAATTTTTCTTCATTGGCACCTTCCAAAATAAAATTTTCTTCATTTGCAATCTGCTCACATGATGATTTTTCAACAATTTGATGCTCAAATTCTTCCATGCTATCTTGGACATGTAATTTAGAAATTTCATTGACTTCATCATCAACTAACTCATGTTGCTCACTTTTAGCATCGAAATTCTTGTCACCATCTTCTTCTTTTGTTATGCTAAAATCCTTTTATGCATCTACCAATTTGTTCAAAAGAGTTATTGTTTTCACATCCTTGACTTCATCTTCTTCAACTACAACAACATAATTTTGCTCTGGATTAACCTCAATAATAGTCGTTGTTTCAACAAAATTGTTATTATTCTTAATGCCACTGTCTTTTTTGTAAATTTTCTCTGTAGACTTTTTGACAAATGGACTCTCTTTCCGACAATTATGATATTTTTGAAACATCAAATGCTTCTAATATATTGTAGAAATTTAGCTTTGAATAGTCGTTTCATCTTGTACCACGATCGCACAGGCTGTGATCCTTACCTTATTCGAAAAAATTGTAATTGTTCCCACCAAATTCATGAAGACCATCATTTAAGCTTGAAGGCAACACTTGGAACTTGTTTGTTTTCAGGTACATCAAAATACTCAAAAAATTCTTCAACTTCTTCAAGCCGGTCCAAGTTATCTTCAATAATAAAACTTCTATTGAAAGTAAGTAGATCAAGTTTTACTTGAAATTCACGACTGTGATCACTAAATCTGAAATCCTCATTATCGAAAGAATTCGCATAGGCTGGGGGCCTACGTGGATATGCAGGAACATAACTCATGTTCGGTTGGCTACGAGACACATTATCATCGTAAACTAGAATTGAACCACGAACATGGTTGCCACCAATCTCAAAACTTGTTGCTACAACCGTGTGAGATATATTTTTGTAATTGGCATATTTCGGTAACAAAACAAATCCTAGTCGAGTTGTAATTTCAGTTACTATATCAGAATCAACATTGACTGCGGAATTGGAAGGTTGTTCAGAAGAGGAAAGTACTATTGATCATTGAAAAGGAAAAAACAACACATTAGGACACTGTTTCCCACTTAGGATACAAATACGTACATAGTATATTTTTCAGAGTTTCCAAAAGTAGAAAATCCAAGTCCAAGTTGGATTCTGTCAAGTGGGAACCGGTACCTGGATTTGGGAACCGGTTCCAGAAGTTGAGATTCGAGAGAACTGCATTTTGTCCTTTGGGAATCGGTTTCAGAAGTCTTGACAGCAACAGGTTTTCTGTTTCCTTGTTCTGTTTGATTCCTTTTTTATCCAAATTTCCTTCAAAGTCCTATGCATGAAATTTCCTTTATTTTAGAAGGAATAGGACTTTGCAAACCTCTATATAAACCATGTCATACACATAGGTTTAAAGAACGGCTTTTGTTCTACAGATTCATTATTCTTAAAAGCCTTAGAAAGATTATTTTTACAGAAAATCAGAGTTGATTTTTCTATCATCTTTCTAGAATAAATACACATAAACACATAGTGAGTTTAGAGTTATGGTGTTTAAATCCCAATTGTGATCATACAATTGTATTTACATCGATCAGACAAAAGCAGATCTACTTTTATATTGAATTCGGACGATTAAAGAACAAAAGCAAAAGCGATCACACTTTAAAAGGGTTAGAGCATTCGAGGAGTGTTGTCTAATCTACCTGCTACTCTTCTACAAATATCAAGCATAAGCCTGAGATTAAGTTGCTGTTGGACTGGGAGTCGCAAAGCCAGATGATTGTCAGTAATTGGTATTTGGTAGAACGATAAGGTGTGAGCCAGAGTCAAAGTTCAGTGTACTTTGTTTCAAGCATAGTGGATCAGTTTACTTAGGACTGCACAATCCACGAGGTTTTTTCCACGCAAACAGTTGACGTATTTTATCAACTGGGGTTTCCTCGTTAAAAATCCTGGTGTCATCTCTAACTTTACTTTGCTTTATTTTA